CAGCAATATTAAAAGGATGATCAGCTGTGAAAGACTTAGCTACTCTAATCAATCCAATGATCCAAGACTGGCCCAAAGTACTTACAGTGAAAAATGTTATCTACATCCAGAGGGAAAACAGATAAACTCTTGGGCACTGATTAAAGCATATTTTCAATACTTTGTTTTATTTTTCTTGTTTTTTTTTTATAACATGGCTAATGTGAAAACATGTTTTATATGACTTCACATGCATAAATGACATCATATTGCTTGCCTTCTCAATGAGTGGGAGAGGGGCTGGAGGGAGAGACTTTGGAACTCAAAATTTTAAAAATGAATTTTAAATAAATAAAGCATACTTGTAAAGAGAGAGAGAGACAGTTAAGTGAGCAGAAAAAGAACAATTTACTACAACAATTTAAAGGAAAATAAATTCTTGAAAAGATAATAACTGTGATCAATGAGGTGACCAATCATGAATTCCTTTCTCTGACACCTCGTAATAATAACATTTATTTAGCACTTTAAGGTATACAAAGTGCTTCACATGCACTATCTTCATTTGATTCCAAACTCACCCTTAGGTTGTCGTTATTGTTCAGTCATTTCAGTCCTGTCCAATTCTTCATGACCCCATTTGTTGGCAAAGATACTGGAGTGGTTTGCCATTTCCTTCTCCAGTTCATTTTTATTAATGAGGAATTGAGGCAAAACCAAGTTAAGTGACTTGCCCAGGGTCACACAGATACCAAGTGTCTGAAACCAGATTTGAACTCAGGAAGATGAGTGTTCCTTGTTCCAAGCCTACTGCTCTATTCACTGGGCCACCCAGCTGCCCACGTAGATATGTAGGTGCTATTATTGTCCCCATTTTACAGATAAAGAAAAAGCCTGAGTGAGGTTTAAGTGACTTGCCCAAGGTCACACAGTTAGTAAGCATCTGAGGCAGGATCTGAACTCAGATCTTCCTGACTTGAGAGTCTAGAACACTATCCACTAAGTTAGCTAGCTTCACTTATTATTTGTATGGTCTTGGGCCAGTCACTTAACCTCTCTGGGCCTCAGTTTCTTCATCTGTAGAATGAGGGGGGGTTTGTCCAGATTGCCTCTAACATCCTGTCAAATGGATGGAAGTTGATAGTTGATGGCTGACAGTCGCTTCCAGCTCTAAATTTATAATCCTATTACTTCAATGACTAAAGATAGAGCCTGCTTTCTACCTCTGAGACGCAGAATGAAACATACGTTTTCAGATAGGATCAATGTGTGAATTTGGTTTACTTAATTGTACTTATTTGTTAAAAGAGAAATTTCTAATTGGGAGGGAGTATTTGAGGGGAAGAAGCTGTTGGGTAGTGATCGTATTGAAATAAAGAACAAAAGAAAGAAAAATATCAATGAAACATTTAAAAAACACACAAAAGAGAGGGAAAAAGTTCAGAAGGGAACACAGGCAAGCAAGGCAGTTTTATTACTATCTTGTTTAATTAAACATATTTTTAGTGAAATAGAAGCTCAGAGTTTTACATATAATCCTTTCTCTGTTCTTTGGATATTGAAATGTTCATGTTTGTTAATATTTGTCAAGTTCATAATAAAATATTTTAAAATGAATATTATTTTTAAAAAAAAAGAAAGAGGACCAAAAATTCATGGGAGGTAATGTTTAAGAAGAGACTACATTGAAATAAAATCCATAGTCTCAGATATCTCTATACAAATGTACAGAAATGTACAAAACATGGGTAGTAAACAGGGTAAACTAGTAATTCTAATGCAAAAAGGCACTGTGCTCAGCTCTAGGTACCAGATTTTAGGGAAAAACTGATAAAATAAAAAGTATCCAGGAGAGAGCAAGCAGGATGGTGATGGGCTCTGAGATGGTGCTATATAAGGATCAGTTGAAGGAACTGAGGATGTTTCAACTGGAGAATAGAAGACTTAGGAGACATAACAGCTGCCCTGTTCTCTTGACCCAAAAGAAAAGAACTAGGAACAATGAGTAGAAGTTGCAAAGGGATAACTTCAGGCTTTATATAAGGAAATACTTCCTAATACTTAAGAGGTGTTCAAAGGTGGCATGGCAGGCCTTGAGGCACAGTGTCTCCCTCTTCGCCCCCATCTTCAACAGCTATCACTAAGACTTGGCAGGATAGTATGTATGGCTAGAATATGGCTTTGGAAGGGAATCCCTTTTTTAAAAGGAACAAAAGAGATGAAAGGAGACGAAATAGAATTAAAGGAAAGAGAAAAGGAGAGAGGACAATTTCTTGGGGGGGGAAACTACAATGTAAGGAGCAAGATGAGGGAAAGAAAAAGAGAAATTGTCAGAGAAAAGAACCAAGAATATTTAAGTCATGGAAACCAGGGAGGAAGAGAAGGGAATACCTTTATCAACTTTATACATGTGTCTCTGTACCCCCAGAACCTAGGGTTGGTTTGCATGTAAGAGATGTTTAACATTCGTTTATTAAACTAAAAAAAAAAAAAATAAGAGGCCACTGGCTGAAAAGAGGTCAAAGATTTCCTAGGAAGCTAACAGGGAAAATGAGGCCAGTTGCCTCTGATCACTTGAAAGATGAACGGTGTCAAGTCTCTGGGCTAGACAGTTTAAAGATGCTTGTAATGACTTCTAATAATGCTTTTAAAACGATGAACTTTCAAAGATTACTTACAGCAAAATTAGCTATATTGCCTAATCTTTTTACTCTTCTTGGAAACAGATGTCTTGTTTCAAATACACTTATCTTTTAAAATATTTTTTCAGTTAATGAAACTTAATCATTACTAGAATACAGGGCTCAGTTGCCAACATCAAAGGAACACAGCGACAATGTAATTATGGTTCAAAAACCACATAAACCAAAGGTCATTTTGGAGAAATCACTTACATACGTAGGTAGTTGGCTACAGGGGAAAATCATTAAAGAGTTTATCATAGTGATATAAAAGACCACTGTCTGGAATCAAAGAACCTGTGTTCAAATCCCCATTTAACATTTGCTACTTGTGTAACCAAGGAAAATTCACTTAACCTCCCTGAGACTCAGTTTCCTCATCTGTAAAATGAGGGAGTTGACAGGTTCCCTCCAAAGTTCAAAAAAGCAGATATGGTAATTAAAATTTAAAAAAGAAACAAGATTATTCTGAGCTATAGCTAATTAATTGCTGGTTCACCAAAAGATTTAATTAAATTCAACCAATTCAACAAACATTTATCAAACACTTAAGAGCACTGACTTGGGCATGAGGACAGGCAAAATATTTATAAAAGATTAAAATGGATACAAAAATCATATATTAGTTCACATTTCCCTATCACTTTAGAGTTTACAAAATGCTTGTTTCACAACAACCCTCTGAGATAGGAAAGACAAGTATTTATCTCCATTTTAGAGATGAGAAGCCTCAGGCTGAGAGAAGAAAATCACATACCCACTAAATGTTAGAGTTGAAACTCTAGTCTAGACAGATCCTCTGACTTTAAGTCCAATGCTCTTTTCCTGAAATCACAGGTCTCCTGTAAACAAAGATCTGGGCAATTCCACTCTACCAAGCTGTTATTACTTTCCCATTCACACACTTCTAGTGATCCTATAATATAAAAATCCAACAAATATTGTTTTATTATTACTAATGATGGTTTATATGCAAAGAAAAGGAGATTTATTTCCACACAAAATGCTTTTTATATCTGCCTGGGTTTCTCTCCAAAACTCTTTTCCAAATTTGATTAACTTTCCTAGTTACCTCAGGGAGAAGACTTCAATTAGGTGTTAATGTCTCTTTAACACTTTCCAAACAGTTGCCTTCTGCTTATCAATTTATTTTGAGCTGTTGAAATTTTTTGTTTGTTTTTTTGTTTTACAAGGAATTTCCTATCTTTGACTTCCTCAAACCCCCAACCCTTCCAGTAAGAAAAACCAGTCAGTTGGGCAAGGCCCCATTGGGGTCCACACGGAGTAGTATCTGCATTTATGACATTGGCGAATGGTACCTGAATATACAAAATCCTCAATTTCTAAACGGAATGTGCTTCCTGAATAAATAAAGCTTCAGTTTACTGGAACATTCCAGGAATAAACAAGGCATTTTGCTTAACCTCACCATCTAAGAAGAGTTAACTAAGAGCAAACTAGGAAACTTTTTTATTCATATGCTTTCCTACCTTAATGAGTATACTGGAAGAAAGATTTTTTGGTGATCTAAATCTAAGATATTGCTGGGCCACAGCAGAGAAGGGTGGAATCAGAAGACCCTGGTAACCAACCTTGTGTTTGCCTAAGTATCAGTAATATCTCACATTCTCTCTTAGAACCTCGATGTTCCTAATGTAATAAATGGAAGTAAATATCCTTGTACTCCCTACTTCACAGCGCTATTGTGAGGGAAGTGCTTTGTAAACCTCAGGGCCCTATAAAAATGAGAATTGTTAACGTTACTCACTTATACAAATATATTTTTTCAATAAAACAACGGGCAGAAATTCCCAAACCAACAAATGTCGCGCCCTTCTGACAGCCCCGGGTATGCCTCTAACTCCCTCCCGTCGGTCGCTCAGTCTCTCAGTGCCTTCCCCTCTCCCGGCTTCAGTTTCCCCTCCTGTAAAAAGAGAGGGACCCTTCGACTTTAATCAGACTGTGAAGAGGGCTGGTTTGCTGTCTTTGTGTCCCCAGCGCTCAGTGCACCGCGCCTGACAAATCGTAGGTGCTTAATAAATGCTAGTTGATTGACTGAAGGTGCCTTCTACCATTAAGATCCCTAAGACATTCTCCCCTCCTACCCCCACTGACCTTTTTCTGGGGACTCCCAGGAGGGCAGTTTAAACAGCTGCGGTCGGAAGGTCAAAGGGCACTGGGGAAACTGAGCCAAGACATGCCCCCATACCCCACCCCTCCGTTTCCATCTGGTTTTCCTGATAGCGAGACTAACAACGACTGGGCGGCTCCCGATGCCCCTCCCCGCCTCCCTGCCTGTTCCCCCCCCCCCCCGAGGCGGACCCGCCAAGTATTACTTACCCACAGAAGGCGCTTTGAGATCCCCTCTCCGCTCAGCCTAAGCCCCTCCTCCAGGCAGACAACAGGAGCTGGGTCAGACGGGCTAGGAGAGAGCACTCGGGTCGGCCGGGATCGCCCTTTGGGCAGAGCCTCGAACCGATGCCCACCCCTGTGCTTCGCAGGCGCCGGGCCGCTCTGGGCCTCCTCCCCCTCCGTCTCACGGTGGCACCAGCGACGGCGGCGGCGGCGGAGTCTGTTGCCCCGGCAACTGGGGGCTCCCTCAGGCCCTAAGGCGCTCGCGTTACGGTGGCCGGGATGAGACACGGCGGTCAGAGTCCGCCCCGTTCCGTTCCTTGCACCTTGGAAGGGTGGGACTAAGGAGTGTTAAATTAGAGAGGGGAAGCCTGCCACAGGCTCCATAACCGTGGGTGATCTCAGGCAGGGATTAAAAGAAAAGCTGGGACAATGAAATGAAAATGAGGAAAGACAGCAGCATTGAAGATAATAAATAATAAAATAACATCAATAATTATTAACAGCATTAATATATCATCAATAAGTAACATTAGAGTAATAGCATTACTGTTGTATATTAATAATATCAATCATCAACATATCAATGACAGTTATTTGTTAATATACGAATTATTCAGAGATAATATCAATAACATTTAATTTATTAATATTGTTATTAATAATAAACTAATAACATTTTGGAAAAACTTCTCTGGGGTACTTCTGGTTACTCTTTTTGTACCTAGGGATGGGGGTAGGGAGTGTGAAGAGGAGAGTGCAAATCTTGATATTTGGTCATGCCATTCATAGGTTTTGGAGCTTTAGAAATCAACTAGCCTGGCATCCTTATTTTACAGCTGAGAAAACAGGCCCAGCAAGGAAAATTGAGTTATGTGGAATGGCTACAGTGACACTGAACTTGGAGTGAAAAAGATCTGAGTTTGAATCCTGCTTCAGATACTTGTCAAATGTGTGACCCATGGCAAGTCACTTAAACTCTCTCTCCAACTCAATAAATCAATCATTTTTAAGAACCCACTATGTTCCAGGCACTGTGCTAATCGGATACAGAAAGAGAAGTCCATGCCCTCAAGAAACTTACAATTTAATGGAAGGTGGGAGGAACACGCAAACCTATATACAAAGCAAGCTATGTGCAGGATAAATAGGAGATAACAGAGGAAAGGTATTGGAATTAAGAGGTATTGGGAAAGACTTCCTATAGAAGATGGGATTTTAGTTAGGATTTAAAGGAAACCAGGGAGGTCAGAAGTCTGAGTGGAGGAGGAATAACAAATAGGACTTTCCTCAAAAAGTTGTGAGAATCAGATGAAACAATAGCTAGCAACTCTATAGCATCTTTTTTAGGTTTGCAAAGTATTTTACATGTGAGGTAGGTGCTATCGGGGTACAGTGGATAGAGTATTTGACCTGATGTCATGAAGACTTGAATTCAAATGTAACCTCAGTCACTTACCAGCTGTGTGATCCCATAGACAAGTCACTTAACCTCTGTCAGCTTCAATTTCTTCATCTCCAAAATGGGGATAATGATAGCACCTATCTCCCAGGGTTGAGAGGGTAAAATGAGATAATATACTTAAAGTACTTTGCAAACCTTAAAGCAGTATAGAAATGCTAGCTCTTAGGTATAAAAGTGTCTGGGGCAGGATTCAAACTCAGATCTTCCTATGGAGCTAGCTAGCTGCCCATAGATTAAAACATAAAGACTATTTCAAACCTCAAAGTGATATATAACTATTAGTTAGTTATTATTGTTGAACATAGTACCAGTATTTGAACTCAGGTCTTTTGATTCTAGACCCTCTCATGGCAAATTGAAATCAATGCCCAGGACTCCAGACTCCCCCAATCCAGGGCTCATTCCATTCCACCACAGGCACTTTTTAACCTTTAGCAGCAGGCAACACCTCCTACCACCAGACCCCCAAATGCACCCTAGGGCCATGGTGCTGACTGTGCAGTTTTACTGCTCTACTCTGCTCTCCTCTTTCTCCTAGATCTTTCACCAGCTGTCTAGTCCAAGTCTAGAAACTATTCCCTAATGATGGATGATGTATGTACTAATCAATTTATTCTTCAACTCCTGCCTCCAAGGACCTCACTGTTCTAATAGATAAGTGCTTCCAGAGGCCCACTATTTCAGAGAGGACTCCAACCATGCTTTACTCTACTCTCAAACAATCTTTTCACCAACACAGGATGCCTTGCTATGGTAATTACCTTTTCTCTACTCTTTTCTAGTTCTAGAATGATAATCAAATCAATAAACTTTACCAATACTCTAAAAATAGGTGAGTCAATTTACTCCCTAAAGACTCTACTCATCACCCAAAAGACTCACCAGGATCCCCTTGCTAGGGACCACACCCCTATTAGTGTCTAGACTTGCTTTTATTTTTGCAGTTCAACTTGCTTATAGCACTTGGCACTTAATAAATATTTAATATATGCTACTCATTCATTCAATCCATTCTCAAAGCCTGAAATACCTCTCCTTCCTCTGCCTACTTGCCTATATATATAGCCTAAAAGAAAACCAACTTCAAATGTCACATCTTCCATAAATGCCTTCTCTCATTCCTACCACCCCTTCCTCCAATTTTAGCTAGCTCTTTGGTCTTCCTATACTGTCTAGTTAGCACTAGATTTCTTCAAATAATAAGCCTTTGAAGTGGTCACATTATTCAAATTCAAATTTACACTTCATATTTCCATTAGGCTGAATCCATTATTATATTTTATATAATTATAAATTTGAATGGTGTGAATTTGAATACCTGTGAACCACCTGTGGCTCCAAGAAGCTGTAGAATGTGCAGTGGCCACTTTCCAGCTCTTCTGGAAACCATCTCAGCAGACAGGCTAAACCAGATTGAAGGTAACCAACAAGCCTCATAACTGGTTGGTGAGTTAGGAGTATGTCCACCGCAAGCTTGTGGATGAGAACGATTTGTTTCAAGGCAAAGAAGGCTGCTGAAGGAAGCTTAGAGCTTGGTTAGACATCCAAGATGCCAAGGTCATTCAATGCATCCCAGGCCATCCAGTTGTTCTAAAATTTGTCCTGCCACTGGACTTCGATGATTCTGGAAGAGTGAGTGAGATTGATGACTTTGTACAACTATGCCTACTGAAATCCAACTCTCGAACACGCAAGACATCACCTGATGATGTCGTTGGTCCTCTGAAAACGAAGAACGAACAATTTGTATTCACTATATGTATTTATACTTCCTGCTAGACTGTAACTTCTCAAAGATCTTGGGAGCATGAAGTAGAAAGAGCCTTGAATTTGTAGTTAAAGGATCTGGGTTCAAATTTTTAGCTTTATTACTCCCAGCTTAAATAACCTGTCTGCTTCAGTTTTCTCATCTGTAAAACGAGGGGCTTGGAACCAGACTTCTAGGGCCCTTTCCCGCTCTAACTCCTAGAATGAAGTCAACTGCTACTTTTGGGTGGAAGGTGGGAGAGAACTGAACCATTGCAGTTCACTTGCAGAAAGTCACACCTCTGCTAGACTAAAAGTCTCGGAGGCGACATTTCAACCTAGAGTCTCAGACGCTTTCCTCAAGTCCTCCACTTAAAAACGCTGGTTTTAAAAACGAAATGAATTTCTCCAGCTGCCAGCACTGACCAACCCCTACGAAGGAGGATGAAACTGACATTGCTCAGCCCGCATTATGTCGACATACCGTGCTCCGTTTGGTAATCCTACGTCTAGCTCGGGGCTGATACCAATCAGTTCATTTGCGATAGGGTGTTTGGGAACCCCGGGGTGCATATTGGGGGGGAGGGCGCTGTGCGCACGTCCATGTAAAACGCTACTGTTGAGCAACTCTGCGGTCAACACCCAGGCGGAGAGGAGCCAAGAGGGCCAAGAACAAGTGTGGGGGCTCCGCAGGGGGCAATCGACACTCTTCATTAGGCTCTCCAAGTTAATGGGCTCTCTTAGGGGCCCGGCGCAAAGGCCGCGGTACTGGAACTCGCTCAGCTCACATTACCCCGACATCTCCGCCACCCAACGACTCCTCCCCCAGACAGGTCCGCCCCAGTAAGACTCCTCCACTAGACAGCTCCTTTCCCAGACGGCTCCGCCCCCTGACAGCCCCTCTAGCCCCGCCTCCCTCCTCAACCAATAGGCGGCCCCCCGGTCTTGGAGATCGGGAGGGGGCGGAGGTAGGCGGAACGACGCGGTGACGTATGATGCGCGTCGGAAGAGGGGAGGATCACGGTTTCCATCCCTCGGAACCGTCGACCCCGGACTCTGAGGAGGAGGCACCCGCGAAGGCAACGTCGCTGGAGCCGGAGCCGGAGCCGGAGCCTACACCACCCCGCAGCCGCCGACACGGTCCGGCCCGGTCGCCGCCGCCGCCATGGGGGCCGTGCTGGGAGTCTGCTCCGTGGCCAGCTGGGTGAGTGGCTCGGTGGCTGAAAGCAGGGCGGACCACCTGCCGACCTCCGGCCGCAAACCTTAGGGTGGCGTCCCGGGCCGGCCGGGGCCAGGGAGCCGCGGAGCCGCCGCTCCAGGGAGGCCGCCCTCTCCCAGCCCCGGTACCACCCGCGGCTCTGGCCCGGCCGCGATGTCCTGGAGTTCGGGACGCGGAGTCTTTTTGTTTATTTACCTGGCTCTTTGCCCCACCCACCCCAGCCGGCCCAGACGCCAGGGCCTGGGAAGGGAAATGGGAGGGGGCGGGGCGGGCGGAGAGATCCAGGGGAAGAGGGCGGTTGTTTCTCGGGCCGAGGGAAAGAAAGCAGCGCCGGGAGACTGGAGCCCTGACTTCCCGCTCTGCATCTGACGTCTATGGGGGCTGAGGGTGGAGGGGAGAGCAACAAGCGTGTTTCAAACGCCTACCATTTATCTCTTTTGGATCTCATCTGTCGGTTGGGGGCGGGAAGGGAACAAGCATTTATCAGTCCCCTACTATGTATCTCATTGGATTGCATCTGACATTATAGGAGGAAAGGGAACGAGCATTTATTAAGCCCCTACTATGCGCCAGGGACTCTGCTAAGGGCTTTACAAATATTAGCTGATTGGATCCCATCTGACATTTCTTTGCCCTGTTGATTTTCATTAAAAGAAAAAAGTGTGTAAAGAGATAAGCAGGAATGAGTTAGGAAAGATAATAACAATAATAATTCACATTTATATAGTGCCTGTCTTATAATAACTTAGAGTAGATGCCACTAGTGTTATTATCACCATTCTAGAGATGAAGAACTTTCTGTTAAGTGACTTGTCTTTGGTCACAGAACTAAATGGAACAAGGAACAGTAGAAACCACCACCCCTGGTTCTTGTCTAGTATGCCCTAAAGTATTTACTAGCTGTGTGATACTTTAAAGGTACCCGGCAGCATTTGGGGCAGCTAGGTGGTGCAGCGGATACAGCCCCAGACAGGCCTGGAGTCAGGAACGTCTGAGTTGAGATCGAATCTCCGACGACTTACTAGCTGTGTGACCCTGGACAAGTTCACTTAACTTCTGTTTACCTCATTTTCCTCATCTGTAAAATGGGGAACATAATTATAGCACCTACTTCCCAAGATTGTTGTGCGAATCGAATGAGATAATTGCAAAGCGCTTAGCGCAAGTGCCTGACAAAAGTAAGTGTAACAGTATTGTTGTTGACAACTTCCCCTCTCTGGGCCAGTTTCCTTATATACAAAATATAGGTAAACAATTTTTAACTTTACAGGATTTTTGTGTGGACAGCATTCTGTAAACTTTAATGCCTTGTCAAAGATGGGTGATTTACATCTTTGCATCTTCTACAGAATCTATCACAGGACTTTATACCAAGCGGATGATGTTTTTTTTTAATTGACCTGAGTTGACTTTGACTGGCTGTGTGTGTGTGTGTGTCTGTGTGTTTGTATGTCTGTGTATGTGTATGTATGTATGTATGTCTAGTGGATATGTTTTCCTATGGTGAATCTTTTTCCTTTCCCAGTCCGGAAAGTCACTGTGGCTACTAATCCTGCCCTCAGCCCCAAATCTCTCCATCCTGTTTTTCTTTTGACTGGATGTCCTGTTAAGACAGTTGATGAAGGCACCATACTTTATATTGTAATTGAATTCAATCAACAAACACTATTAAGCACTAACCTTTTAGGCTAGGAGAGTATATTGGAAGACAAAAGTGAAAACATTCCCCGAACTCAAGGAGCCTGTAGTTTAGCTGGGAGCAGGGAAATACCAAATAGATGCAAAATGATTTGAAGGTAGCTTAAGCTGAATCTTGAAGGAAACTAGGGATTCTGAGAGATATAAAGGTGAGAAGGGAATGGGGGACATGAAGAGATGTGCATGGAGAACAGGCAGTGCAAAGGCACAGACAGGAGATGGAATGTTATGCATATGTATGGTTAACAGCAAGAGGAGGTATCTTGAATAGACTCTTGCCTACAAATCAAGAAAACTGGATTTTAGTCGCCAGTTTACTAATTTTGAGCAACTCAGTCCCTCTCTTCTTAGGCCTGTTCCTTCTGTGTAAAGCCAAAAAAAAAAAGGTAGTTGGATGAAATAATATTAAAGGTCTCTCTTCCAACCCCATTGTTCATTTTTTTCTAAATACAGAAGATGATTATTCAGGTATGGTATCTTTAAGGGCTATAGGTAATATCTTTGGTGAGAACCATTACTGATTCAGGGGAAGTAGGTGCCTTAATTGGGAGATTAGAATCAGATTGACCTTCATCATTTCTGATGACATTTCTCATCAAAGCTAAATTTTGGACTATTTGGAAATTATTCTTATTTACCTACTTTTCACCAAAGCAGTTCTGTCCCTAGCTGATGGCCAAGTTTGAGACCTTAAAAATCACAGTTGAGTGGTTTGTTTTCATCTACTTTCATTGCCCAACAATTTGAGTGACAATATAATCGGTTTCTGAAGATGGAAGGTAGTGATTTGCTTTATTACTTCATGCTGCTTTAAGATTTGGGATTTCAGATACCTGTCAGTGGTACAGTATAATATAAAACTTTGGTTTTGAACTTCTAATTTGAGTGATGCTTACTTAGTACAATGTAGAGAGCTTTAGATTAACAGTCAGGAGACTTTCGTTTCTTGTCCCAATTAAGCCATTAATTTGCTGTGTGGTTTTGGATAATCTCTTTTTATCCCTAGGTAGATTAGATGATAGATTGGGGGGCTGGAGGTAGAAACTTTAGCCTCGAGGCCACAGGTTCCCCACCCCTGGGGATGATCTTTGGGGTCCTGTCCAGTTCTAAAATTCTGTGATTCTTCTATTCTAAATGTAAATCCTATATTAGCTGCTGGAATCCTATCAGTCAAAAGAACTAATAATATCAGCTTAAAATAACATATTTAAAAATCTAGTCAGTTAAAAATTTCATTTGTCATTTAAAACTATTATTGAAAGTAACAGTAGTTTTTGCTTTAGAATGCCAAGTTAGGTGGTTTGTTTTAGTTACTGTAAAAATTATGGTACTAAAAGATTTATTAAGAGATCAGCAGGCCATCAGTCAGCAAGCATTTATTAAGCATTTACTAACAGACACAACTCATTTTTCATTGAATGTGACCACAAACTTGTTTTTGCCAAATAATGGATTTGTAATTGGGAGATTTGTAAAGTGCTTTGCAAACCTTAAAGTACTATGTAAATATTGACTACTGTTACTCTTCTTACTTTATGAATTGGGACCATCTGGAAAGAGCCAAAGACAGCAAGCAAGTCATGATTTACAGATCAGTTTCAAGGGCCTTCTATCTGTCATCACCATTTGTTACTTTAAGGCAACCACATATTCAAATGTAAGGGAGGCAGTAGTGCCAACTTGGAGGAGTAATCATTCCTCTTTGGTTGTCATTAGAATAAGATTATAGACTATGCACTGTAGGCTAAAATTATAGGCTATTCCTTTATGGGAATACATCAAAATATCAAGTTACTGTAGGGGTATGTGGATCAGACAGAGGTCCTTTACTCATCAGAGATATATACCACAAAGTAGAAAGTTATTTTAAGAATTGTGCAGAGTAAGTAAACAACAAAGAATTACAGAATTTTAGAGAGGGAGGGAACCTTAGAAACTTCATTTGACTAGGAGGAAATTGAGCCCTAGACTGAGGTCACATGCCCAAGGTAATGGTTGAAAACCTTTAAAGACCCCAGGTCTCTTGACTTCAAAAGTATTCTTTGTATTAAATGTGAGATTTCATATGGAATAAACTAACTGGTGCTATTGTCTTAATCTGCAAAATGCTAGGGTTGTTTTTTTGGGGTTTTTTTTGTGACCAGTTATTAAGGTCAGGACTAAGGTTAGGTAATTTAGGTTGTTAACTGGTTCCTGTCATGGGGTAGGGACCACAATGACATTTCTAATATGGCATTTTATAAATAACTACATGAGTTGCTATGACCAAAAATATTTTAAGGAAAGAAAATTACTTTCTATTTGGAATGGAAGTATTTGTTTTGGGATAATTCAAGTTATATATGCCACAGTGAAGGGTTAAAGTCTCTGATTGAGAGTCACACGACTTCCTAGGCACACAGTAACAAAAGAAAATAGGTTTTATTAAGAATTCTCATTTTTCAGTGAAGAGAAGGAAAGACATATTTCCAACTTTGTTTAGGGCATGTGAGAAAATCAAATTGATTCCATTTTATAATTGATTCTATTTTGAATTGCCATGGAGAAATTCAAATTGGTTCTACTTTATAATTGATTCTATATTATATTTGAATCCATTCTGTAATTTATTCTATTCTGTAACTGCCTGAACCGTATTTCTTTGTCTCTGAGTCAAGTTCAGAAATTCATGAGTCCGGGAGTTCAGTTTTCCCTGTCTGAGTTAATTTAAAATTCAGTTGTCTTGTGTCAACTTTAGCTCAAAGAAATGCATTAAATCTGTACAGCCTTGCATACCCACATACAAGGGAGATTCTGTTATCCTACTAACAAGCCTTACAGAATGCTGGTGGGTGCCAAGAAGTCTGTTATCTCTGTTCAACTAACTGAGCAGACTTAACTATTTATCAATAGGACTTATC